AAAATAACCATCTCCTAATAAATTTAAAATGACTTGAAATAAAATCCACTTTGGGACCAGAAAGATGGCCCAAGGATAAAAGTACTTGTTGCCCAAGCCTGAACGGCCTTAGAAATTCAAAAGGAAAGAAATACTCATGAGCATGTTTGATAATATTATTCCTCCCTGCTATACTACAGAAACTGCAAAACATTATTGAAGGAAATTAAAGTTGAGTCTAGGACTTAGTGGTAGAGTACTTGCCTGAAGAGGGTTAAGGAGAAACAATTTGGAGGTGGTAACGTTCATTTCCCAGCTCCGTAATAGTGAATAAATAACCTTTGTAAATGGTTAAGAGGGCAATCATTGTGCGGAGACACAAACCTATAGGCAAATAAACAAAACAATCTCCCTAAAGAAACCTGTTGGAACACTTTGGTGAAATCTGAACACAGTTGCATTCTAGTTGATACTGTATCAGCGTCAGCTTCCTGAATTTAAAAATTTTACCCTCGACATAAGAAAACTCAACCCTGGTCTGGCAACTCTAATTCCAGCACTTGGCAGGTGAAGGCAGGAAGATCAAAAGTTCAATGTCATCATGATTTCGAGGTCAGCCTTGGCTTCATCCTTCCCCCACCACACACAAAAAATAATGCAACAAAAATCCCTGCTAAGCTAGCATAGTGACACACAAACCTTGTTATTTCAGAAAAAACTGTGTGTTCTTCCATTCGCAGAGTAGAATTAGCTTGCGGTGTTTAATCAAAAGTCGTGTTGGGAACTTGATTAACATTGCTTTGAGTTCTATTGGATCAGTTTCAGGGTCTATTACTGTTTGAATCAAATGGAGACGATTTTGCAAAAAGTTAGGCCGTGGGGATGCTGACGAACATATCAAGTGCAAAGAACAGTCCTGTGTATATTGACAGTCTTCGGATTATTTCTTTTAATTGTACTGACCTCGCTTCCTTCCACTTTCGCCCAGTGGAAGGAGGGAGGGAAATGGTGAGGATGTCGAATGGTAGGCATTCAGGGGACTCCTCAATCCGTGTCTTCTCCGGTGTGTTTTCAGAGGACGCACGGTGGAATTGAAGGAGAGGATTGAGAAAAAAGAATGAATCAAAGAATGCCCTTGAATATGCTTCAGAGGGAGGCCGTGTAAGTTTCCTAATTGTTGAAGTTGCTGTTCCCAATGACCGTGAGACCCTGAAATTCCAGGACAGGAATCCTGCGTGGGGACTGAGGACTACCGAGAAGTGTTATTTAAGCTTTGGGGTCGGGTAGGGGGAGTCTGAGGTGGGGCCGTGTTGCACGGATTGGAGAAAAAGTCACAGGTATTCCAAACACTTGGAACAAACAGCACAAGCACAAGCAAGAATCAGTGATGGGTGTGAGGGAGGCAAGGAGGAGAGATGCATTTGGAACTGTAGGTAGTGGCGCTTATGCAAAACCATTAGTACCAGGTCAAGGACTTTGGACTTTGTCCTGCGACCACTCCAGAGGATACTCGTGACCAGAAAGTAGTTAGATCCCAAACCGGCTTTAAGATTACTGTGGCTGCTATGAGAGAAACTGGGTGGTCCTGTGTTTAGCGGGGCCACCCTTCCACCTGCAGGGGGCGCTGTCAGGGCCGCGCGTCCTCCCCTTCCCTTCCTTGTCGCTCCAGGTCCGATGCGCTCGGAACTCGTCTACTTTTCCTGGGCGCTCCTGCCTTGAGATGCGACTAGCGAGTCCAGACGCGCCCCCGTGCGTCACCTCCGCTCCAGCGAGGAGGCTGCCCGGCTGAGTGGGGTGGCTCCGAGTGGGGTGGCTCCGAGTGCGGCGTCTGCGCTTGAGCCGCCCGTCCGGGGACCTCTGCGCGTTTGAGCCTGGCGTTGCTGTCTGCCACTAGGTGTTTGCATTTGTCCTGGGAGATGTAGGCAGACAGAGAGCAGAGGCTTGAGATTGCTACTCCGCTAGAGAAACAATTCCCCTTGAGCCACCTGCCCTCCGCCTGTAACCAGAACTTCACACTGGTGAAGACCTGGCTACACTCGACCATCCACGTTCCTTGGACTTGTTTCCTTCTGCGCTTAAATCAGGTTCCTAGTTGAAGGGAATCTTGGAGTTCGGTTACCAATACCTTAATGCTCTCTGACATCTTGTAGATTTTGCCTGCACAACCTCAAAGATCGCCTATTTTCCTGCGACAACTTTATGGAAAAATATTTATTCATTTATTTTTGAGAAAGTGTCTCAGTCTGTAGCCCTGGCTGTCCTGGAACTCACTCTGTAGACCATGCTGGCCTCGAACTCAGTGACTCTCCTGCCTCTGCCTCCCGAGTGCTGGGAATAAAGATGTGCACCACCACACCTCGCACCTTTATGTGTTCTTACCGCAAGTTTCCTTTCCGCAACTTCGATGCCATTAAAAGCAGTGCCTCCTGCTGTGTGCACACACTCAATCCTGGGATATGATAATGAACTACTTACATAAAAGTGCTACTCTTTTGGCATTTACATCTTGGTGAGGAGAGATCACCGATAGATGACTGAATGCTAGGAAGGCGTTAGACAGGGTGTAGGCTAAGAGCTGGTAGTTGATGAGGCTCATCAGGAAATGCTTCTTGGAGGTTTTGGTGCTCATAACTAACCTCGTGAACACCTCGGCCCTCCAGGCAGGGTAAAGGGTAAGGCCACGGGAGCAGAAGTGTTGTTTTCTGGGAATAGACAAGGTCAGGGTGACTAGAGTGTGATAAACCGTGATTGACAGTTGAGAGGAAAATGTTAAAATTTGTTGTTGTTGCTACTCGGTTTTGGTTTTTCGAGACAGAATTTCTCTAGGAGCGAGGCGTGTGGCCTTGTGCAGAGCTTTGAAGTGTGTGTTCTTTAGATTCTGAGACAGCGTTTCCCTCGGCCCCAGCTGGCCTGGGGCTCAGCACAGCTGAGATTGGCCTGTTCCTCTGCTCTCCCCCCCTCCCAGTTGCTGGGGTCAGAGGCTGCACCCTTGCTCGCAGCTTGCAATGTGTTTAATAGCAGCGAGAAGCCATGGAATATTCTACAGAGGGCTGATTTGGTTCAGTCACTTCTGACCACACAAACCGGTCATTGAAGGTAACTGATACATCAGTTGCTTTCTGAAACTTCCTTTCCAACTCCTTCCCAAGCTATAGTTCCTCCGCCTCTCTCGTAAGAAAAAGAAAAAAAATTACATTTATCTCGTGGGTGGTGCACCTGCCACCGAACATGTATGGAGATCAGGACACTCTGGGGGTCAGTTTTCCCCTTCCACCCTGAGGCAGGACTCAGGTTCTCAGTGCTGGCAGCAAATGCCCATCACTGGCTGAGCCGTTTTGCAGTGGCCTTGCCCTGCTGTCTTATTTCTCCGACGGTTTGTGATGGGCTGCAAAATGTTACAGAATGTGTTCAAAATGTGGGAGATTTAAAAAAAAAATGTAAATCTTTGTATAAGAGGAAAGATTTGATGATTTCATTCAGATCCTATGAGGTTGTGTAAAAGATTAAGAACAGCAGTTTCCAACATTTCATCTGTGAGATTTTTTTTTTTTTTTTTAACTTCAAAACGGCAGGACATAATATCAGTTTGAGGCCAGGCCGTTTCTGTAAATGGTCTTCTCATCTATGAAATGAAAACGGAGTACTAACACACTTAGAAATTGTTCAATGATGAAGCACAATGTGCCAGTGTCGCACAGGGCCACTACCATAGCATCTGAATCCTCAGGACGGAAGGACAATTCAGAGATACTGCTTCCATATTCCATAGCTTTCCGGGACCTTCACGCCTATTCTGGGTCGAGTACCAGGCAGGGAAAAAAAAAAAAAATCCTGTCTCCCAGCTGAAGCCATGAAAGAAAGCTCGTAGGTTTGGGTGGACACATGATCATAAATACTACACGTTCGCGTTCTCACGGCGTGGAAGGCCGGTGGAGATAAGGCAGTGTCTTCCCGCAGCAAGCACTGAGCAGTAGGTTTTGTGAGAAGGGACCGGTCTTTCGTGCAATCTGTTTAGTACCCAGTGCACGCTGAGGGCACTCCTTATCTCCGCTGGGCACAAAGTACACACACCCCTTTTCGGAAACACAGGGCCTAGGATCTCCCAGGGCTGGACGGGCTCGCCGCCCGCAGGACGCACAGAAGGGGCGCTCTGCCTGCGCGCGCGCCCCCACTCCCAGGCCCGGCGGTCCGGGTTCGTCTTCAGGGTCCCTCGGCCCCGCCCCGGCAAGGCCCGCCCAGCTCTGCGCGCGCCCCTCCTCGTCCGCGGGCGGCCGGAAAACCCGGAGCGAGCCGGCCCGGGCCGGCGGCGCATGCTCAGTGGCGAGCAGGTTCGGTCTGCTAGTAGGAAGCTCCAGCGCTACACCGGCGGCGGCGGCAGCGGCGGCGGTGGCGGCGGCGCCGCCGGGTTCCCCAGCAGCGACCTCGGGCCCTTCCCCGCCTCGGCCCGACCCCGACCCCGGCTCCGCCCCGCGCCGGGCCTCCGGCCCGAGTTCCCCGCCGGCCAGCGGGCGCCACCGGCCCGAGCGACCCTCCACGCGCCGTCTCTCGGAGGGCCAGGCCGTGCCGGGGAGCGCAGCCCCGGCGGAGGGCGGCCCGGGGCGGAGCGGGGGGCCGG